AAGGGAAATCTCAAGCACATGGAGCGACGCTACGCCTGGCTGCAGCAGATGGTGAAGCGCGGGAAGATTGCTCTGCAGTACATCCCGACCACCGAGCAGCCGGCGGATTTCCTCACGAAGGCTCTGCATTTTCCGGCTTTCAACCGGTGCTCCGTCGCTATCGGCCAGGTTCGCCTTACCGAAATCGGCGACGACGAAGTGCAGAACTAGGCGCCATGTCCTTCAACATGGCTGGTGCGGTGGACGGCGTGCTGGGTTTGCACGCCGTCGAAGTATCCCCCTTGTACTCTATTACGTAGGCTCTACGGGTGGACCTTGCGTGTAGGTGTGCCCAAGCGTGTGCTGGGCAGGGGAGTGTCGAAGAGAAAAGGCCCCGCCCTCGCTTGGTCGAGGTAGACCATGCTTCCGGCAGCACAACGGTGTGCAGACGGCTTTGTTTCGTGGTCATCGGCGAATTTGGGGACTTTTATCTGTGTGCGACGAGTCGTCTGTCGACGATATTAATTGTCGAGGTAGAAGTGTTTCTTCTGCTCGACCAAAGTGCCCGTCGAAGAGGCGCTCCTCGATGGGAGTAAATCGGCGTCGAAGACGAGCTTTGCTGGTCGACGGATTTGGCAGAATTGGCGTTTCGACGGATCGGTGGTCGACAGAATTGTGCTCGACGAGTGCATCGTCGAGCAGAGCGTTTCAGGTCGACCAAAAGGACTTGTCTCCGAAATTCGCAATATACGCGAATTTCAACCAATCGCGAAACAGCAAATTTCGACCAATCAGGTAATCTCGGAAATTGTACTCCCCAGGAGAATTCGAATCTGCAAAGGAACAGAACCTGAAACACGTTTTTGCTAACTATCCCCGCGAACCTGGCTATCCCCGTCGTGGTTACCATGTAGGGATAGCATTCCAGTTCGCTAACCAACTGAGTTAAAATGGCATGTTTCCTTGGTGGATCAGCGCACCCATACCCCCCCAGGACGACACCTGTAGTCCTTGGGGAGACCACTTCGGGCAATTCCAGTGTCCACTTCCAACACTCCCCTCACTGGGAGGGCCCACCACTAGGGCACAGGAAGTCGCCAACAACAGGAATCGAACCCTGGTCCTCCACGCTCACCGCACCATGCAGGGATAGCATTCCAGCCCGCTAACCGACTCGGATAAAAGGGCATGTTTCTTTGGTGGGTCAGCGCACCCATACCCCCCCAGGACGACACCTGTAGCCCTTGGGGAGACCACTTCGGGCCATTCCAGTGTCCACTTCCAACAGTTCCAAGATCCTTCAGCACACCTCTCCCCTCCGCGTCTCTTCTGACAATATCCCCAAGCCTGACCTCAGATAGCCGCTTCGCTGCCTTTCGCCCTCCTACCGGCATGGTCCCTTTCAAGAGGATGTGTCTGTTGAACACAATCCTTTCCAGCATCACCTCCCTTACTCCGCGTTCTTCCGTGGACACCGCCAGCGGGGAACGCATGAAGTTCGGACATGCCAGTTTCCTTCCTGACTTTTCCCCTCCCAGCTTTTCAAGAGCTTCTCATGGGATAGGAACGTATCCAACCCCAGCGGCAGGTCAGCTGCTTGGCGCATCAATTGCCGCTTCAGCTCGTCCGGCTCCGTAAGTGTCAACCCGATCCTTATGGCCGTCAAGCAGGTGAGCATCACTTCCGGATCTCTCGCCCCCACCCCTCCTTCCAGCACCAGCGTGAACAGCAACTCCTTGCTCCACAGGTGAAAGCACTTTTCCGATGTTGCCTTGTTGGCTGACATGAAATTGTGCGTCATCTTAGTGATCACACTCCAGGTTTGCGCAGGAATCTTTGCTAAAACCACCCTAGCAGGTGTAACACGCTCTTAGTGGAATCCTCGTTCCCCGTCAAAGTTGCACCCGTAACAGAACCAAAGGACCGATGTACCCGTTCGGGTTGAGGAGACGACAGAATATCCGCCCGCATGTGATATCGGGGAAACCTTTTCGGACAGACAGCCTGTCGTGCTGGTCTAAATGCTAGCCAATGAATGATCGTTAATCCAAGCGCAAGCTGTTGTGCCTCTGCTCCGCTGAACGTCCTCCAATCAGGTGTATGGTTATCGTTCAGTTGACAGACGCGATTGGCTTTCAGGTGATCCTCACATTGTTTCAAGCTCAGCTTTGTCGAGGTGCTTTCAGAGGGCAAAGAAAACAAAACCTAGGGATGAAACGGCGCAACAAAACACACCTGCAATTTCCGTGGTGAGTATACCATTCGACTGAGGCAAGGGGCTTAGTGAGGGCGAACTTAAACCACCGTCTTGACACCACCTAAACCTTCTCGGGCAACTTGGAGCTGGGCCATCCTCCCTCCTGTTCAGTAAACTTCCCTCCCGAGGGAAGTGCCCGTTGCCCGCTGGTAGCCTAGTGATATCGCGTCGCAGTAAGGATTTGGGTTCTGATCGTGGCGCATGCAAGCATACCTTGTGCTATCCCCACCGCAGCGAAATCAAGCCAAACAAGACGTTCGTAGTACAGTTGATATTCGATAAGGTTTGATATATAAAACAATGGGTTAGCCAGACTAGAGGATATTCATCCGTAACAATTCAGCATACTTTGGCCAACCAAGTTCAACTGCTCGTTTGCAAATATCCATATGATTACATTGATTTGCGCATTTATCTGTAAACAAGCATACATAAAATGATAAATGTTAGCTACAAAATACAATTTTGGCCAACCAAGTTCAACTGCTTATTTGCAAATATCTATATAATTACATTGATTTGCGCATTTATATGTAAACAATCACACATAAAATGATAAAGTTTAGCTAGAAAATATAATTTTGCTGTAACAATATCGTATTCATTGAACACTCGCATATAGAAATGCTGTAAGGAAATTAATATGGCTAGCTGGTGTGTATACATGTGTAGGAATTTTCTAAAAGCCTTTTGAATGATGGCTATCTGGCACACTGATACTAACCGTGATTTAGTGTCCATGCAACCATACATCAGACGACGGCCCATACCATGCATGGATGCAAGCAAACCTCCTGTTTTGCCACGGGAGTTGCATGGGGGATGTTCTGCCCCGTGTCGCCGCCAGAGCTAGAAGGTTGCCGCCCCTTCTTCCAGGCACCCCAATGGGGAGCACAGGAAAACCCCGCCACATTCCCCCCTCCTCTTGGGATTCCCTTGCCATCTCCTATTGCTCGCTGCACTGCACCAAACGTTCGGCTCCATAGTTTTTTAATGCAAATCCATGAACAGCTGCTAAGGCTGCAACGCGTTCCTCCGCTGCGCTGCAGGAACTAGGGCCTGGTGTACATTGATGCGCTCTGCCTTGCCAATTCCATCGCACTATAGATGTTTTTTTTTTGGATAGCTCATCAGCTCGTCCCGACGGTTTAGCGTTTAGTTCCGTATGCGCTACCGGAAAACCGGCAGGCACGACGACATCCTCTATTGAGCCTATCATTGTGCGGTCTTCGAAGGGAGCCGCACGGCGTACGAAGCGCAATCATTTCTCCGCCTCTCTTGAACCGCGCCAAGTATTTCTCACGGCACTTACGGCGCAAGGCCTGCGTCAGACACGCGGCAATGCGAGCAGCTTAGGGCGACGTGACTCTCTGGTTGCGGACGCTGCTTCCACTGCTCCCGTCCCATCCCCAGCCGCCGCATTCGACGTCTCATCGTGTCGAACAATCTCGGGGTGATATCGCGTGCGCCGCCGTCCGTACTACGTGCTCCCGGACGCTACTTTCATGTAATTCTCGCGAGGCGGTCCCCGCTTCCGCTTCTACAACAGCTGCTAACAATATCCGCGGCTCCCGCCGCCGTAAACATTGCGTACCGAGGATACTAGCCTTGCCCCCCCCCCGCGTAAATGCTTAGCTCGACGTGGCGCGAGCGAGCAAGCAGCGACGTGCTGACCATGCCGCCGCGCCACCCGCGATGGAACCGAGAGACTGTGCGACGAGAGCCGAGACTCGACATGCCATGGCCCCATGCTGCCGCTTCTACCCACGCTGCTGCTGCTGGTGGTGGTAGGAATAAATTTCCTGTTGCTCCCGGGTCTGCCGCAGCTGGCACGGTATCATCCACTCCGTCCTGTGCCGCAGGCGCGCAAGCCACGCGCAAGATGTTTGTCCTTTCTCCGCCGCAAAACACGTCGCCATGCGACGGCTCGTCAGAAGCACCACCACCGCGCGGCATGAGGACGACGCCCCCCGAGACGCATGTACCAGTCGCTGCGGGAGTAGTGGTAGTGCCGGTCACGGCGGGTGACTCGCCGACGGCGGGTGGTCGCGGGCAGTTCGAGTCTGAGCCACGTGGCTCGACCCTCGTCGCGGGGAAACAACGGCCATTGCGACATAGTGGCACGGCGGTCGATGGCGGAAATTACGGCGGCGGCAGCGGCGGCTCTAGCACGACGTCGACGCGTGCTAGTTGTGGTGGCCCGCGTGTCGTGGAAGGGCAGGCGTACGAGTGGCGGCAGTCGTCCACGTCAGCCTTGCACGTCGCATCCTCTGCAGCGTCCACGTCATCCGTGGCAGGCGTGCTGCCCCCGCGGGAAACGGCATGCGTCTCCAGCCGGGGGTCGCAGGTAGAAGGTAATACAACCTCAATTTTTAATGAGGTAGAAATTCTTATCGATTTCTTAATGCTGAATGCACCCTTTTAGATATCATGACTGCCGCAGCACGCCGCATCGTTCGAGAATTAACCGTGCAAATTTAAAATGTATAGTTAGATCGAAAGTGTGGGGAGCGGTCGTTGGGAAATAGGAGTGTTGTAACCTCAGTCTTGCCGCTTTCCTTCCATCGCCACCTCTTGATTGTTGCAGTCGCTTTTTGCTGCCTGTTCCCCCCCATCCCCTCCCTCTCTCTCTTCAACTCAATTGCAAATATTCAGACCCACACATACACACGCACACTCGTACAAACACGTTCAACTGGGCAAGCATCAACCACTGTTTCCTTCCTTGTCTAACAACTGGTCAAGCATCACTCTTTGGTCTGTCATGTCGCCCTGTGTCCATGCCCTTCCCCCTCTTCTCCCTCACCCTTTACCCTCTTCCCCCTTCCCCCGCCCCCCCCTTCTCTCCCCCCCCCTCCTGTCCCCGCTCACCTGTCCTCCGCCCGCCTCCAGTCCCCCCCGCCATGAGCTCGTCCGCCTTCTCCGCGTGTCTGCTGCGCTCGTCCTTCGCCTACTACAGCGCGCCCTTCACCTCCGCGCCTGTGCCAACCGCGCCCTGGCTATTCCGCCAGCCCCGCCAGCAGCGGTGAGACGAGGCTGGGGTGAGACGAGGCGGGGGTGAGATGGGAGGGGAGAGGATCATAGGGTGTGGGTAGATGCGTGGAGGATAGGATGGAGGGAGGCGAGTTGTCCATGTATGTCTGCGCGCCTGCGTGTGGTGAGTCTTTCTGTGTTCTGCTATAGAATCGCATCGTATGGCATCAGGTGGCAGGCACCAGTAATGGCATCAGGTGCTGCAGAGCAGCCTTCCTTGAGCCTTCCGGCTTCCGTGCAATGTGCTTGGATTAGCTAATTCGAGCTTGAGCAGAAGCCCCTGATTCTATTTCTGAGGCGCCTCAGAAGAAAAAAAAGCTCAACATTAAGCTGGAGTAGTTAATCTGAATCTATCGTGCTTGTATGTACGGAGTTTGCTCACTTCTGAAAGGGTTACATCTTTTCATTTGGTGGCCATCCATCGGTCTTCTTCATGACCAGTGACCATCATGTTGGGAGTAGCTAGTCCGTATTTCATTGCCACTCAGAAGCCGTTGACGATTTGGGGGTGTGGCAAGGGGCTGCTGGCTCTTCCCCTGATGTGTGTTACTGTACGTGCGTGCCTGGGTGTGTACATGTGCGTGCGGTTGATTATTCGTGCTTGTGTGCATGCATGCGTGTGTGCGTGTTGTGCTGCAGGTGACCCAGCAGCAGGTCTCAGCACGAGTTTCCGAGTCTGCTGCGTGCTGGAATCGTGAAGGGGTGGCAGGGCAGGGGACAAAGGAGAGTGATGGGAGTGATGCAACGGGAATGAGGGATGGGAAATTGATGCAAGTGGGGGGAGAGGAGGAGGAGGAGGTGATGAGGAGAGAGAGAGGAGGTATAATGTATGGCAGGGAAAGGTCAAGACATGGGGCAGTGGTGGTGGTGGTGGGGGGCGAGGAGGGGCAGGCGGGGAGAGGGATTCTGCAGTGTGAGGAGGTGGTAATGGGAGTGCAAAGGAGTGAGGAGGAGTGGAGAGTGAGAGGGAGTGGTAGCAGCCGTGCAAGGGGGTGGGGACACGTTGCAGGGAGGGGAGAGCGAGTGCGGTTGCAGCAGGAGAAAGAGGGGGCGTCCAATGAGAATGGTGGCTTGTGGGAAGTTGGGACGGGAGGTGGGGATGAGAGTGGGGAGGAGTGTGGGGAGGAAGGTGAGAGTAGTGACCAGCAAGAGGTTATCCAGGCAGGAGCTTATGTATATGCCACTGCATCCGCGTCTACCACTCTGCCTCTGTCTACCTCTGTTGGCTCCTATATCGTGTGCTGGAATGGGGAACACGGCATGGAAGGGAACCAGCAACAGCAGCAGCAGATGGATGAGGAGGTTGCGGCATGCAGTGGGGGTGTGGACCAAAGTGCAGTTTTGGAAGAGAGGCGAGAGAAGGAGAGAAACTTTTGTGGTCAGCAGGGTTTGACTGCAGGGGGCCTTGTAACTGGCGCTGGGGATGGTGGTGGTGGAGGTGCTGGGACAGTGGTGGGATGCCAGGGCGCTTGGGTGACTCCTGCTGCTCATGCTCATGCTCATGCTCATGCTGATGTTGTTGCTGTTGGTGATTGTGTTGGTGTTGGTGATGCTGATGATGCTGGTGGATCCGACAGTGGCGTTGCTGGCAATACTGATGAGGAGCAGGAAGGAGATAGGGTTGCAGATGGGGAGGATGGTGGCGATGTGGAAGGGCTGTTGGAGCTGCAAGTGCTCGATGCGGCTGTGGATGCCTTGATAGCTGATGCTGATGGTGTTGCTGATTCTGACGCCCACAGGTTCTTTGCAAACCCCCCTCACCTTTCTCGAAGAAGCAATTACATGGGTGTTCCATGCGTATCACTTGTGTCTCCTCCTCCGCCTGCTCTTGCTGCTGCTGCTGCTGCTGCTGCTGCTGCTGCTGTTGGCGCTGCTGGTGCTGCAGCACACCCGCACGGATTTTCGTTGCATGCTGCTGCAGGCAGAGGTGTTGCGGCAGGTATACCAGCAGCGTGGTTGCGTGGGACGGAGAGCATGTGCACTGCTATCAGGAGTGACCACTTCCACCCAACTACTGCTGCTGCACCTCCTCCTCCTCTCACTGCGTTGGCGGGTTGTCATGTGCTGGCTGCTGCTGCCTCTGCTACTTCTGCTGCTTCTTCTGCTGGTGATGCTGCTGGATTCCATGCTGGATCAGCTGCACCTGGTGGCGCTGTGGTTTCGTCTCTCCCAACTCCTATCCTCCTACCTCCTCTCTTCGCCACACCATTTGCTCCTCCGTTCCATCCCTTCCCTCCAGACCCCACTCCTCTGTATGGCACGCTGCCTTCTCCACCCTCCTCCCTCTCCGCACAAACACAGGCTGCTTGTAAAGGGACAGCAGTTGCTTATAGCGAGCCACGGTATGCTGGTGGGCTGGTGGAGGGGGAGGTCCCCAGCAGAGAGCTGAGCAGCAGCAGTAGTGGCAGGAGTACGGGCAGCAGCAATGGCAGCAGCAATGGCAGCGGCGGTAACGGCAGTGACTTGGAGGTTGCAGGCACGAGCAGATGGAACTGCAGTGAAAGCTTCTCCAGCTGTGGCTTTGGCAGTGGGCTCAGCAGCAGTGGTTGCGGCAGTGGTGAGCATAGCAGTGTGAGCAGCGACGACAGCACATGCAGCGATGACAGCAGCAGCTCCCACGTGTCTCCTGCTCCCCCCATGCCTGCTCCCATGCCTGTTCTTTCATACCAGAACCACGGCGTGCCTTTCATGCCATGCAAACAGCCGTCTGGTGCGTGCAGTGTGGGCAATGTGGGCAGTGTGGGCAGTGCCAGTGCGCATGGGATGAAGGCACATGTCATGTCCTCGTGGCTTATGGATGGTGCTGGGACATGCTTCGCGGCACCTACAGCTGAGTCTGAGCTATGGCCGGGACTAGCTGATTCAGCTTCTGCTGCCACTGCTGCCGCTGCTGCTGCCGCTGCTGGTGCTGCTGCTGCTGCTGACTATGGTGGTGATGCGGGTGCTGCTGCTGTCAATGGTATGGCCGTTGCTGGTAGCGGTGCTGCTGCTGGTGATGAGCATACTATGAACACAGGAGTGCAATGGGCTGGGATCAACATGTATCAGCTGCCACCTCCCATTTCCATACTCACTGCACATGCACGCGCACATGCACATGCGCATCTGTATGGCATGGGTGCGGCACATGCAGCGGATGAATGGCGTGTGTTGGCCTCTGCATGGTCGCCTTGTGGTGAGCAACACCCTCGGCCCCTCTGCCTCACTACGCAACCACTGCTGCAGCCACAGGAACAGTCACAGGCACATGCACATGCACAGGCACAGGCACAGCAGCAACTGCATGCAAAACTGGGGGTACTATCAGTATCAGTCGGCCCAGTAGCAGCACATGCTGCAATCTTCCCACCGCCACCCGAGAGCGGAGGAGCAGCACCAGTGGCTATCCCCACAGACTTGCTCTTGCCGCATGATGTCTCCCCGTCTTCCTCCTCCCCCTCCCCCCCTTCCTTCTCCTCCTCTCCCTCCATCTCCCCCACGGCTTCCTTCTCCTCATCTGAAGCAGCCACAGCAGCCGTGGTGTCCGTGCAGCAGCGAGTTTCCACAGACCCACACTCCGTGTCTTCTTGTGGTGTGTTGGGAGCGGCAGCACCTCCAGCAGCAGCAGCAGCAGGAACACCATCAGCAGCAGCTGTGCCGTACAGTGTTGCGCTCAATTCGAGGGGCCTGCCTCTACGTACGTACCCTCCTTGCTCACTGCCTGCTCATCATGACATGGCCCACTCTCTCCTCTTTGACCCTCTTGGTTTGCTCCCTCATCTCTGCGTGCATGCCTTGTGCCCCTCGGGGCTATCAAAGAGCAGAGATTCTCACCACAATGCCACAGCACAGCCCACAGCATTGCAGCTCAGCACTGCTCGCTTGCTTGCTTGTTTGCCACTCCTCTCTCTCCGCTTGTCATGCCCCCACTCCTCCCTTGCCACTCACTCTTGGGTGGTCCTTCTCTGGTGTCAAACACCAGCACACACTCATAGGTAGAGGAGCAAGGTTCCTATCACATACGCATCAGAAAAGCATGCATCCCAAGGATGTTCCTGTGCCGGTTCCAACACATGCAGCAGGTTGCATATGAGGCGCCTCAAAAGTCACCTCAGAAGACCTTTGAGGCGCCTCAAAAAGTTCCTGTGCCGGTTTGAACGCATGCAGCAGGTTGCGGGAGCCGGTCAGTCGGGTTTGTGACCCCCCATTTTGCCTTCGTCCCCCCGTAAAAAAACATATATACACATGTATATATATATATATATATATGTAGATACACACATATATATTCATGTACATATGTATAATAATACAACAAACTTTCTGCCAAGTCGCGCGGGGGACACTTGGCGTCGAGTAATGAATCGCTCTCGAGCCTTTGCCTCCCGAGTATTGTTTTTGCTTTCCAAAGCGAGTAAGAAGCAAATACTTGCTTGCTCGCCGCAAGTCGAACGAGTAATTTCGTCCGTTGCAAGGGCTATGGTTGAGACCTCTCAAACTGATCCACGTATCGTGAAGCAACCCCCTTGCTCAGTGCCGTGTGACTCTGACCAGCGCTGCAAAAACTGAATGGAATTGAATGCGAGCGCCTTGTGCTGTGCGAGTGGCATCAACTTGAGAGTCGGGGCAGCCGTGTCCTTCCGCTCCCCTTGCCCACAAGAGCTCCAGCACACGTTTCCTTGGTCTTAAATTGCGCTAATGTGCCAGTTTTGCGCCCACGTGAAAGAAGGGTGGCTTTGAGACGCCTCAAAACCGCGCTCCGGAACACGTTTCCTTGGTCTTTAGTTGCGCTAGTGTGCCAGTTTTGCGACCTCTGCTTGCCTCGCTGCCTGTGTGCTGTGTTGCTGGACCGTGTGCGTGCTTCCTTGCGTGTGCTTGCTTGCTTGCTTGCACCGCTTACTGCCCTAAAATCGCCGCAACGCAAGGACCCTCGAGCTTCCTGGCATGATAATGCGTGCCATGGCATGCCATGGCACTGAGATGATCTTCGAGGCGCCTAAGGAAAGCTATGGCATTGCCGTTGGCGCTGCCCCGTCGCGCCCCTTGCCTAACCGCCGTCGCGCCCTTTGCCTAACCGCCGTCGCGCCCCTTGCCTAACCGCCGTCGCGCCCCTTACCTAGGCCTCTTGGCGCGCCCCTTGGCTAGGCCGCCCGTCCCCACCCCCCCCCCTTCCCTTGCCTAGGCCAAGGGTGCGGTGCGGAGTGAGTGATGGTGGGAGGAGGCCACCGGAACTAGGCTTTTAGGCAAAGCCTCCAAGGCATGTAGAAGCGAAGATTGCCAGTGAACTATGGTGCTCGAAGCAAAGCTCCAGAGCTTGAGAACCAAAGGGAAGGGAGGCGGGCAGGGTCAGCGGGGAGATATGAAGCAGTGGCGGAGCAAGAGCTCCGGCTTCTGAACCGGATCAGAGTTGTGGAGGGCAGAGGTTGGAAGTGGTCAAACAGTTTCGGCGCAATTTGGAACTGGTCTCGGGGGGGATTTCAACCGCCCTAGAAGACAAACCTGAGGCTGGCGATCCATCCGAGCCTCTCCGGCATAGTTACGACTGTTTATGTCGTATGCACTTGTATCATCGGTGTATATTTCATATTCTTCAAAAGAAAGAGAAAAACTCACGCACACACAAGGGAAGGAACTTCTACCCCTTTTTCTCAACCAGCCCTATGCACTTGTATCTCTATCTTACGTTGCTCTTCGTCCTCCCTTCCCTCTCTTCTCCTGTCCATGCCGTGCCGCTTGTGTACAGGAGAGGCCTGACTGCTCGTTCTACCTCAAGAGTGGAAAGTAAGGCCCTGCACCTTGCACAGATTTATGTGTGGCTGCTGCACCTTGCACTGCATGCCACTTTCGTCCGGTGCTGTGCTATGCTGTCGCTCTTTCGCCTTGCTCCGTGCACCACTGCCTCTTTCCCTTCATCTGCCCTCCTCCCCGCACGCATATGTCCCAATTCCTCCCCGCACGCATTTCCGCCCTAACCTTCTTGGAGCATCCTCCCTCTGTTGCTGCTTCTCCTCTCCTTTGCCCCCCTTCTCCCCCCACCCTCCCCTCTTTCCCCACCCCCGTTCCCTGTCCTCCCTTCCCCCAATCAACACCCCCCACGCCGCAATGCCCGCCAGTTGTCGCTATGGCACGGCATGCAAGTTCAACCATCCCCACATGGCTCGACACCATCGGGCCTTCCTCCCTCCCCGTATGCAATGCACACATTCCCATCTCTGCTGCGGGTATGCTATGATTTGTACATCTCAGCATCGACAATGTTGGAGTTTACAAAACGACCTCTGCGCATGCACACGTTCCCATGTGTACTCAGGGTGTGCCATGATTGTAAATCACTCCTGCTAGTGCTCCCATCCAAGCTCCTTGTGCCTTGTTTTCCTAGCCCCTTGTGCCGGGTTTTCCTCTCCATGCTGCCTTTTTTTTTCATGACTCACGGCACAAGCCACATTGTAAATGCCACATGGCACATAGCATGTCTCACATCACATGTCTCTTGTCCGCACCGCACCATGGCAGCTGGTCACAGTGCTTACAGTGGTGCACATGCCTCAGCTGCTCCCATGCCTTCCCTGCCCTCACCCCCTCCGCTACCACACCAGGCCTAGCCACAAGGCAGCCGCATAGAGGCTCCTCACTGCTCACTGCACCTGCAGCATCTTCCGCACCGGCAGCAGCAGCACTGGCATCAGCAGCAGCTGCAGCTGCAGCAGGGGCAGCCACCGTTGGGGCGGAGAGCAGCAGCAGTCAGGGCAGAGCGCTGACAGCTTGTGGCACCGCCACCATGACCACCACCGCCACTACCGCCTCCTACTCACCTGCTGGTGCTAATCCAGTTGCTGTTGCCGCTGCCGGTTATGCTCAGGACGTGCTCCCAAAGCCACCGCAGCAGCAGCAGCGGCGGCAGGGGGAGGGCGAGTGGGAGGAGTGGGAGGAGCAGCTGTCAGAGGCATGGCTGCTGCCTGCGGGGCCGCGCCTTCGACTGTACCACCACCAGAAGCACCCTGAGAGGCCTGGCCTGCCCGACTGTGCTGTACGTTCACCTGCATGCCACGCCACTGTGCATGTTATGTTATGTGATGAACACGATGGGCATGGTATGGTACCCCAGGTGGTGGTTTCCTGTATGAATCCCCCCACTTTTCTCTCCATTTTTTTCTTGCTTATACGCCAAGTCAGAAGCATGGTAGCATGGTAGCATGGTCTCCAACCCGCCACTGCTCTCGAAGCTCTATGCTCAGCTTTCGATTCGTTGAATTTGATCCCTTATCTCCTCCACCATTTTGTCATCCTCGTTCCAACCACCACCACCATCATCCCTTCCGTTCTACCTTTGCTGTGCAATAACTGGCACCATTGATGCACAGCAAGAATTCACTACTCTTGCCTTTTCTGATACTAATGCTGCTTCTCACTCTCTCCCCTCACCTCCCGACCTCCCTCTCCCCACTTCCCCACTTCCCCACTTCCCCACTTCTCCCCACCCCTTCCCCCGCCCTCTTCTCCCCACTTCCCCACATTGCTTTCTCCACCGCTTCTGGCTCGACACCCCACCCCACCTGCACTCTCTTGCCAAACCTCAGCACTATGTCAGGACCGGCAACTGCAGATTCGGCAACGAGTGCCGGTACAACCACCCGAAGCTGCGGGTAGATGCATCCACCGCATGTGGCTGAGTCAAACCAGGTCAAAGCAGCAACAAGCAAACAGATGACGGGCTCTGATTGGTCATCAATCCAGCCCATACTTCAAGAACTTCCTCTCAAGTCAACATGCGGGAAGTTTGGAAAGGGAGCATGCTGGGGGCGATTTGAGAAGTGCTGCTCGGCTTTGCTTGCTACTAGATAGCTTGTGAGGCAACTTTGCAACCAGAATACATGAGTCATGTACATTCACTATGAGACCTGAATACATTACAAAGAGTATTAAGCAGGACAAATGAATAGCTGTAAGCTGATTGGTGAAGTGTACAGAACTGTAAATAATTGCGTTCGTCCCAACCTAGTGCAACGTGCGACTTTCGAAGGACTTCTGGTTGTGGCTCGAAATCTTCAGCAGAGCACCGCCTACATTCAGCAGCGATTCGCGACACCAGGTGCCGCGTACCGACATAAATCCCAACTAACCGTACCGTTGTGTGGGAAGATAGTCAGGAGGACAGTAGGAGGTTCCACACCCACTGCTATGCGCAATGTTGGCCGCCCGAAAGCGCCGCCGTTACCGTAGCGCCTAAAGTCGCATAACATACTGCCGTACTGCCGTAGTCGAAAACAGGATAAACACGCAGAGAGAATGAAAGGAACGTTTGTCCGGCCACACGATCGTAAGTAATTTTGCGGTGTGTTTTCTCCACCAGTTCCCTTCCTCGGATTCCACGTCAGCTGCAGTTGCCATCTGGCCCGCCCGTACGTTCCTGTACGTGTTAGTACGTTCCGCGCGTTACCCTAGGCATCTGGCGCTGCTCCGCACTGCCCACTGCCCTGCCTCCTCCCTCGTCCCTGTCACGCACGGAGCTGACGCGGTGCCCGCTGCCCGCCCTGGAACCTCCTAATTATCCCGCTCGCATGCTGGTGAATGTAGGAAATACCGTGCACTGTCATCCCAACCCCGAGTTTTTTTACGAATTCTAGGGAATCTCATTCTTCTCAGTTCCACAGGGAATACCTGTTTTTTTCCGCCGCGCCGCCGGCCATGCCGGCGCGTTCGCCGCACGGGCAGTACCCGCGTGCGCCACGGCTACGATTCCGCTTCCGCGTCGTGCGGCACGCGCGATACGAGCGCCAAACGCGGCCCGTGCGCCACGTGTGGGTCTGCTGCCTGCTGCTGCTCCTCGCCTCGTGCCACACTCCCTTGAGTTCTGCTGATATCCTCTCACTGCCCGCAACACGGGGGGGCGCGCAAAGGGAGCAGGGCGAGAGAGAAGCGGAAGGAGCGGAAGATGGGGGGGAGGGGGGCGGCGTGGGCAAAAGGGGAGGACGGGGAAGCGCAGGCAAGCCGCCGGGCGAAGTGGTCGGCGGCGGGGCAGTTAGTGGAGGCGGATGGGGGGACCAAGGAAGCAGACGGAGAGAACAGATCTGGCCTTGGTCCTGGGCGAAAAGGGTACTATCTGGGTGGGCGAACGTGCAGGTGAAGGGCAGTACTTCCAAGTGAACGAGCCGGAGGGGCAGGTGAACGGGCAGTGGAGTGTGGGAAGTGTGGAAGGAGGGGAGGGCGCGTCTGGAAGTGGTGGCATCTGGGCGTCTGGATCTAAGATGGGTGGTGGTAGAAGCAGCACTGCTGGTTCTGGTGCTGCTGCTGGTGCTGTTGCTTCTGGTGGTGTGAGCAGGGGAGATGGTACGGGTGTGTGTGCGGACAAGCGTGTGTGGGGGGCGGGCGGGGGAGGTGGCGTGGATGGTGCAGCTGCTGGGGGCGAGAGGGCGGAGGCGGAGGCGGAAGGGCAAGAGAGTGACCAGGACTGGGGTGCAGGAAGGGCCATGGACGCGGATGTTGTAGTGGATGGTGACGTGGATGGTGACGTGGATGGTGACGTGGATGGTGACGTGCATGGTGACGTGGATGGTGACGTGGATGGTGACGTGGATGGTGACGTGGATGATGACGTGGACGTGGCATTGCGTGCCTGTGCTCGAGGCCTTTTGAGCTCCGACCAAGAACCTCCTCCTGCCGCTGCAGGCGCTGCGGTCGGCACTGCTGGCGATGGTGCGATTGCTGCCATCCCTACTGTCGCTGCCATCCCTGCTGTCGCTGCCATCCCTGACGTTGCTAATGTCTCGACCCTCCCTGAACCTGCCCCTGCAGCAGCAGCAGCGCATGAGGGCATTGCAGGCGCTCTCAATGCCGCCCTACCTGCATCCCTCGTGAGTGCTGTTCCATGGTTTGGAGTGCGCGATTGGGAAGAGAGGAAGGAGTGTGTGTGCGGGGTGGGGGCGGGGTGGGGAAGGGAGAAAGGGAAGGGCGGTTATGCGGATGGAGAACAAGGAATGGAGGGCTGGAGAAAGAGGCTTTTGCGTTATGGATGTGATACGTAGGACCTTCTTATTTCCTGCTGTCTTGTCACCACTCCCCCTCTCTCCCACTTCTCCCCCTCTCTCCCACTTCTCCCCTCCCTCTTGATCTCTATCCCTTTGCTCCCTCGTTCTCGCTCGTACCCCCTCATGCTTCCCCTCACGGTCCTTGCATGGGCTTCAAGAGAGCAGCTGGGCAGCATGCAAGCACATAACCTCGTTTCCGCATGCAAGGAATGCCGGAGCCAGGTTGGGAGGCCTGGGTCACTGGCACATGCTGGATTCATTCCGAATCTCGTACTTCTGCCAGTTGCGTCTACCAGACGCCATACGTAGGGTTGGTCCACACCCCATATGTTTGAATATTATAGATCCCATATGTGGGGTTGGTTGAAACCTGAAACCCCACGTGGCCTTCATTCCTCGAGCAGTCAGAACTGGAAGAGCCCCTGTTCTCTTCCGCTTCTGCCACGCACGTGAACGGTGACTTCTCCCTCTCTCTATTTCCCTCTCTCTATCTCTATCTCATCTCTATCTCGTGACCGCTCTCTATCTCCGTCGCCCTCCCTCCCATCCCTGGTGTGTTCTCGGCGTGGTGTGCTGTGGCATGGGCAGCCCGTGTACGTGCAGGGCTCCAGTGACCTACCCACCAACAACGCTGTCTTCCGCATCTTCTCGCCCTTCAAATACAGGTCACCTTCTGTACAGCCAGGCAGCCCCCCTGTCTGCACTTCCGTTGCTGTCTACACTGTCAGTCCGTCAAGTCTGTGCTCATCTCATGCGCCCCTGCCCCTGCGCCATATTCTCCGCCCCTCCGTCCCCATCTTCTCTCGTTCAAGTCCACCCTCTCTCTCTCTCCCCGTTCCCAACCCCGCCCTCCCCCGTCTACCCCCCCACCTCAACCCTCCCCTCCTCACCCTCACCCCCCTCCTCACCCCTCCCCACCTCTCACCCCCCTCCTCGACCCTCCCCACCCTCACCACCCTCCTCACCCTTCCCCACCTCTCACCCCCTCCCTCCCTACCCCACACACAGCCCGCAGTACACGAGCATCGCGGTGGGGTCACCTGCGCGTGCTGTTGTGGTGATGCTGGATACACTCTCCAGCCTCTCCTGGCTGCTCTGCCACTGCGGCCCCTCCTGCCCTGCTCCCTCCCACATCCTCCAGGTGCCCTTGCTCTCCCCTCGTCACCTGCCCTGCCCTGCAATCGCCCCATCCCTTGTCGTTCTGCTGGTTCTCCTCTCCTTGCATGTCGTCCCTGCACCCATCTAAACAGCGTCCACCACCACTGCACTGCGCTGCACTGCACTGCACTAAACTGCACTCACTTGCTCTCGGTTTCTCCCCCGCTCTTTTTTCGTCCCCCAAAGCCCCTGCTTTGCTTCCAAATTTCATAGATTCTGCTTCTTTCTCGCCCCTCACCCAATTTGAGGAGTCCTACACACTCCACCGCATTCGTGCCCAGCTCAAAAATCTCTCCATCCCCTCCCCTCTCGCTCGCCCCTCGCCCTCTCTCTCAGAACCGGACTGTCTTTGAGCCATCCTCCTCTGCGACATCACGCCCTGTGCCCTGCAACTCCCCCTCCTGTCCTCAAGCCTCCATGTTCTCCTGCAACAGCAGCAGCAGCACTGGTGCTGCACCCACACCATCAACACCACTATCATCATCACCAGCATCAGCACCAGGTGCAGCTGCTGCAGCAACAGCGGCAGCAGGCGGCGTGTGCACATTCAACCCCAGCAACGGCAGTGCGGCGGGTGGCAGCGCGGGCCCACTCATCTCGGACCTGCTCTCGCTGCTCTCCACCAATTCTTCACTGCGACGAGCACGAGTCACCTTCGGGTAAGCCTGCCTGTTGTCGGCATGCCTTTTGCGTTGCACGCATGACTTGCTGTGGCTTGCCTGCCCCTTGCTGCCAGTCGGAAAAACTCCAGTTGATCGAAATAAGAAAATGATTTTAGTTCGGATGCATCACCTTACCAAGCTTGTTTAGGCAAGCCCAAATGCTCCTTGTGTGGTTACCATTACGGACATCTACCAATGCAACCATGCAAATATGCAACCATGCAAGGCACAGGGTGAGGGAGGTGTGAGGGTGAGAGAGGGAGAAGGTGCGAGGATGAGAGTATGAGAGAGTAGGTTGTGTCGCTGCCTCTCCACCTCTGTGAAATGCTGTGATTGATACACTGGAATACCCTTCCCACACCCTCCCGGCCACTTTCCCCTCCCACTCCCTATTCCCCCTTTTCCTACCCCTTCCCCTTCCCCTCCCACCCCCACCTCCACCCTCTCCCCCTCCCCCTCCCTCTCCCTCTCCCCGTCCCCGCTCCCCTACCTCCCCATCCCCAGTTCACGCTACTACCTGAACGTGACGCAGGTGCGGGTGGGCAGCACACCCCTGCCAGCCAGCGCAGCACTGGGCAGCACGAGAGCAGATGCGAGGGGGGGAGTGGTGGTGGACACCACCTTCCCCTACCTCGCCCTGCGGCCCCCCCTGCTGCAGCAGCTCGTGGACCTTGTCTTCTCACACCCCCACCTTGTTCGACAAGATGTCGATGGCTTCGCCTGCGCCTCTCTTCCCACCAGGTGTCTTTTCTTCTGTTGCTGCACTCCGGCGCTTGTAGGCTCTCTCTGTTCCGGCTCCCCATATTCCCCTCGCCTTCCCCAACCCTATCCCTCCCCCGCCCTTTTTCCCCATATTCTTCTCTCCCTGCCTTCAACTCTTCCTGCCTCCTTGCATTGCTGCCAACCCTGTCGTCGCCATCCACTTGTAGTATCAACCAACAACCCCGTCCTATATCATCCCCTACCCTCTTGTGAGAATAATACGAGGAATGAAATGACTAGAAATGAGTTGGGTACAAATAGGGAAACCTAGAAATATAGTACCCCCTATTGTCTAACCCACTACAGCCTAAACAGGTTATAACATAAGTTTGACACACCCCCATAGGCAAAGTGGGGGAGAACAAGAGGTCACAAGACCAGTCAAGAAAAGCAAAGCAAGCTCAGGGTGGATCTCAAGGATACCACACAAATTCCGAGCACAAGCAAGCCGTCACAAGACCAGTTCACATGCAGTTTGATAATATAACAAGAGGTACAGTGATCACAACCTAGCAAGTGTAAGCATGCAGGTATATGTATAGAGATCACAGTACAGGCAGAGTCAAGAGGTAAGCAAGTGAGGCACAGTAGGCACAAGGCCTAGAACAGTACAGAAACGCTGATGAACACAAGGCTGAAGCGCCTTGGTGAACACATCAGCAGTGTTGGCCCGAGTGGACACGTAAGCAAGACGAAGCTGACCACGCTGCTGCAACTCTCGAGCAAGGAAGTAGCGCAGAGCGATGTGCTTCGTTCTGTGCTCCAGTCTGTGCTCCCGACACAAGGCAATCATGGCCTTGTTGTCGACGTACAGCACTGGAGGAGAACGAGGCGGCTCTCCCAGGTCAGTCAGCAGGTAGGTGAGCCAGCGTAACTCCTGTGCAGCCATGGCCCAAGCGTAAATCTCAGCCTCACAACTGGAACTGAGAACAGAAGACGAGCGGGTAGACCGCCAAGAAACAGAGCCGGAGCCAAGGCTGAAGGTGTAACCCTGTGACGACTGCTGCGTAGTCAAGTCGTCAGCCCAAGAAGCGTCAGCGTGACCAGTGAGGACAACTAGACCTCGCCCTCCAAGCCCCCATGCCCGACGTACTGCACAAGTAGCGCAACACCCTCTTAGCAGCATCCATGCGCTCCTTCCGGTGACGGCCAGGAGCGACATCGCGTGCTAGAATGCTAAGAGGGTAGGCTAGGTCAGGTCGAGTGCAGGTCATCAGGTACATGAGGCAGCCCACAAGCTCTGGATACGGGCCACTCGACTCTACGGACTCGTCCGAAGGTGGAGCTGAGAGGGAGTGACCGGTAGGCAGAGGAGTGGACTGTGGCGAGGAGTACGTGAAGCGGAAGCGCTGAAGGACCTGCTGCACCATGTGTGACTGAGTCAAGGTAATGGTGCGCTGTGCTCTGTCCCGGGTGATCCGCAAGCCAAGATAGCTTGTCAGTTCACCCAGGTCTGTGCACGTGTGTCTCTTCTGTAGCTCCGACTTCACGTGGGCGAGAGTGTCTCAGTGTCAGCAGTAGCAAAGACCAAGTCGTCTACGTACACGAGAACGTAGAACGGCGACAGAGTGGTGTCGGTGCGTAGAAACAGCGACGGGTCAGCAGTAGAAGGAGCAAACCCAAGAGCAGCAAGAGTCGTCCTCAGTGTGTCGTGCCACTCACGGGGTGCTTGGCGGAGACCGTAGACTGGCCGTCGGAGGCCCCACTGGGTACCAGCAGGAAACGACCCAGTGAAGCCAGGTGGGCGGCGCAGCCAGATCTCCTCGTGCAGACTGCCCTGTAGGAAAGCAGTGCTGAAGTCAAGAGAGTGGAGCTCGTAGTCACGCTGAGCGGCGACGTGCAGCAGAATCCGAAGAGTTGTCATCTTCGGGGTAGGGGAGAAGGTCTGGAAGAAGTCAACTCCCTCACGCTGACTGAAGCCTCGTGCAACGTAACGCGCCTTGAAGACAGGCGGAGAACCCGGCGGCCGCTTCACCCTGAAAATCCACATGCCACTGACGATGTTCGCCCCAGGTGGGGGAACCTCGTCGACGTAGGTGCCTGTGGACTTCCAGGAAGCCATCTCTGCGTCCATGGCGGACTGCCATTCAGAGGAGTAGGGACCCTCTATCGCCTCTGCGTAAGAGCGCGGGATCAGGATGTCTGGTGCATCTGGGTCTCCCTCAGGGGCAATCAGCATGGACACGAGATGAGGTAAAGCAGCGGCAAAGCAGTCAAACTCCTCCTGTCTGTCCTCAAGGACGTCCGTGCCAAGAGCACACTCACCCCCGACGGACGGAGGACAGACAGACTCAGACTCAGCAACAAGGCTAGCGGCGTAGTCTAGACGACAGACGGCAGCAAAGTCAACAAGCTCAGCAACTAGAGCAGACGCAGCAGTGGACTCAAAGGAAGGGTCAGTGACAACAGTAGCGAGAAGACGCGTGACAGTAGGACTGGCAGCACGAGCAAGGTCTGACGGCGGGTCAGCAACGTCAGGAAGAGAGGACGCAGGAGGAGACGACAGAGGGACACGCTGTGGAGCAGTGGAAGGACGCAGAACCATATAGTGAGTGCCAGGGACAGGAGGAGGACGCTGACGCGGAGCACGACGACCAGTGCGGACAGCGCGGACTGGCGACTCTGGACGAGACTCAGGCGACGCAGGACGAGACTCAGGCTCACGACGCTCCGTAAGACCTCTAGTCGGCCCAGAGTAAGGAGAAGGACTAGGCAGTGGAGAGGCTGGCTGTAACTGTGACTGCGACTGGACAGGCGGTGGACTCAGCAGGGGAGGAGTAGGACCAGTTGAAGGCGGGAGGCCAAGAACCTGCTGAAGAAGCGGAACGTAGTACGGTCGCGGCCGCGCAGCGCCTCCTGAACCAGCAGAGACAGCACCAGCACCCTGAGCTCCAGGGTCTCCAGCTACAACTCCCGCAGCACCACCAGCAGCTGCAGCAGCTCCAGCAGCTCCAGCACCTCCAGCTCCAACTCCCTCAGCAGCACCAGTACGAGCACCTCCAGGACCAGCAGCTCCAGCAGCTCCAGCACCAGCAGCACCTCCAGCAGCACCAGCACCAGCAGCACCTCCAGCAGCACCCCCACCAGCAGCACCTCCAGCAGCACCAGCACCAGCAGCACCTCCAGTAGCTCCAGCACCAGCAGCACCTCCAGTAGCACCAGCACCAGCAGCACCTCCAGCAGCACCAGCACCAGCAGCACCTCCAGCAGCACCACCAGCACCTCCAGTACCAGCAGCACCTCCAGCAGCACCTCCAGCAGTAGGCCCCCCAGCTCCAGCAGCACGGCTACAGCGCCGAGCGTACCACTCACGAAGCTGCCGTGGAGAGAGGGGCTCCCGCCGCAACGGGACACTCGGAGGACCTCCAGTCTCAGCACCCCCAGACTCAGCAACCCCAGGCTCAGCAACCCCAGGCTCAGCACCCCCAGGCTCAGCACCCCCAGGCTCAGCACCCCTAGCAGCACCTGAGTCAACAGCTACCTCAACAGGTTCGACTGCGTCTACTTGAGACACACCTGAGGGGGCAGGACCCTGAGGGGGGAGGGGGGTCTACCGGAGGAGTACCTGGCGCGAGGAAGAGCGGCGGGGGGGGGAGGGGGGCAGTGCGGTAGGGGAAGAGACGGTAGTAGGGAACCGACTCGTCAAACGTGACGTCCTGAGAGGACAGAACACGGCGCGAGGTGGGGTGGTAGAACTGCCAACCATGCGCGTCAGGGGGGAAGCCAAGGAAGACGCAGGGAACGGCACGGGAGGACAGCTTGTCCGCAGACAAGTCGCGGACGAAAGCTCGAGATCCCCAGACACGGAACACAGACGCATCGCCAAGCTTCCCCGTCCACCGAAGAGTGGGGGTGGTCTCCGGCATGGAGACCCGGGGCTGGAGGTTGATCTGATGCGCCGCGTACTGAACCGCGAACGGCCACAGAAAATGGGGAGCAGCCGCATGGATCATGGACGTACGAGCGACATCCATGACCATGCCAATGCGGCGCTCAGCAATCCCATTTTGCTGTGGAGAGGCCGGAAGCGTGAACATCTGGCGGATGCCCTCCGCCCGACAGAAGGCCCGCAGAAGGTCAGAGGAAAACTCACCACCTCTGTCTGAGTGCAGACGCACAACAGGAAAGTCCGAGCCGAAGCTCTTCCTGAGCTGGAGACGAGCAGCGCGGATCCAGTCGATCAACACCTCAGTGACCTCACCCTTGCGGCGCAAGGGGAAGACCGTGGTGTAACGCGAGTAGTCGTCAACGACCAGCAGGAAGTAACGCTCCTGACCCTGTCCACGGACGCGGGCTGGGCCCCACACATCCATGTGAAGAGTCTGCAGTGGAGCCTCTGTCGGATGAAACTCGGAGGAGTGAGGAGCGGCACGCTGCCGGCCCTCGACGCAGGGAACGCAGGTAGGGGCAGGCCCCGGAGGAAGGGGAGGGAGGGACTCAGGAAGACCCGAGACCAGGACACGGGAGGCCATGCCTCGAAGACGAGGCAAGGAGGGGTGACCAAGGCGGTGGTGCCAAAGAAGAGTCTCGTGGGCCAGGAGGCGACACGAGCAGGGGGCAGACTCAGGGCCAGACCGGGACGCTGCAGCAAACACCTGACCCGACGCGGCTACCTGACGAGGAGGACAGTTAGTGGTAAGGGTGTACAGGCTGGACCCTGGCCTACGGGTGAATGTGGCCAGGTGACGACCCGTCCGAGCACACGTGCAGTGCGTCACACGCTGGTAGGCAGGGGTGAACTGTTGAACACCCCCATCCTGAAGATCAGCACCCGCCACCAAGTTCGTAGAGAACGATTGGAGGTGAAGACCAGACAGCGAGCCGGACGGAGCAGCAGGACATGGGAGGACAGTGGAGGAACGGGCCACAACTGGTCCCCCAGAGGGGTCAGCCAGAGAGACTGCCACCGGCCGACTGAGCGGCGAGAGTGTGGTGCAGTCGCGAAACAAGGAACGGGAAGCACCCGAGTCAAGGGTGTAAGTGTGCAAGACCTGAGTCGACGCGGTACCTGAGAAAGCAGCCTCACCAGCACCTGGAGCAGCAGACTCACTAGCACCTAGAGCAGCAGCCTCAATGCCCGGGTCGGGCGGAACACACAGGTAACTGTCACCCTCATCACTAATAGACACAGCATACATAGCAGCAAGGATAGCATCATAATCAAGATCAAAAATAGCAACCCCCGACTTAAGCAGAATATCCCAGCGCGGGATCTCCGAGGAGCCAGGGAACTGAGTGCGCCAGGCGTCAGTCAGGCGGCCGAAGCAGCGTGGTGTGGTGTGCGGGCCTCCGCACGTCTCTCCACTGCGGTCGCCGGTGCGAAGAACGTAGGTGCAGGGACCAGCACCCCCAGACCTCCCACGCCCAGCGTACCACTCACGAAGCTGCTGAGGCGACGGGGTCTCACGGGAGCGCTGCTGCTGCTGGCGCTGGCCACCGCTAGAGCCTCCCCGCTGCCCACCACCACCCCCGCCACTCCCACCTCCTCCGCCGCCGCCGCCACCTCCACCCCCACTCCCGCTGCCTCCGCCGCCTCCACCTCCACCGCCGCCACCGAAGCCCCCAGTCCCGCCACCACTCCCACCTCCACCCCCACCCCCTCCTCCTCCACCGCCACTACCGCCGCCCCCGCCGCCCCCTCCACCCCCCTTGCCCCACTTGCCCTTGCTGTTGCGGCGCCTGCCACTAGGAGCAGACGCAGTGCCGACCGACTCGGTGCCAACGAGGTCGACAGCAGCAGCAGAGGCAACAGAGGGCAAAAGAGGGACGGGGGAGCACCCCTCAAAGAAAGGGGCACGAGGGTCACCACGAGAGGCTCCTACAGCAACTATACTCTTCTCAGCTGCAAGGAGGCGCTCCTCGAGGAGGTCAACGGTGAGCGTGGTGAGGCAAAGAGAGAGGAAGTGGTCCCTGACCGAGCAAAGGGAGTCAGGGAGCCGGGTAACGAGGTAGTAGAGAGTGATGTACATAGGGGGGGGGTTCTTGGCGCAGAACTCGGTAGGAAGCGCAGCGCGGTAGCGGGTGTCACTAGTGCGAAGGTGCGTAATGAGGTCAGCGACTGTGGCAAAAGCGGCTAGGTCAGGGAACAGGTACGGCAGCATGAGGCGGCTAAGGGCAGCAGTGGCAGGGGAGGAGTGGCGCGCAACAACAGCAGTGTACAGAGTGCTAGCAGTCTTGTACTGGCTAAAGTGCGCGCGCTCAGCAGAAGGCAGGTGACTACGGACAGCAAGACGGGCAGCAGCATCGCGCGTGATCCACTGTGAGCGAACAGTACTGGCAGCATCAGCAGCAGGTGCAGCAGAGGCGCCAGAGGTGAGATCAAACAGTGAGATACCGTCCTTGCTATCGCACTGCAGGAAAAGCTGCAGATCATCGATCCAGACCTCAAAGTCGACAGCTCGACCCTCAGCATCGAAGGTAAGCACATTGGGACTAGCCATGACAGCAGCAGCAGCAGGCTAGCAGCAGTAGCGGCAGCGGCAGCAGGCTAGCAGCGCGACTCGGCTAAAGGGGGCGGCTCGGCAGGGCGGCGCGGCTCGGCGGTGCGCTTACCAGGGGCGGGTGGGTAGGGTGGCCGCGACTGGAGGGGCAGGGCCGTGGTGCGCCGGCAGGGCCGGGGCCGCAACTGGGCGGCAGGGCAGGGCCGCGGCTCGGCTGCAGGGCAGGGCCGGGGCAGTAGTGACGGCAGCGGCGGCGGCGGCTCGCAACACCGGCGGAGGCAGGCTCGGCGGCGGCGGCAGGGACAGCAGCTGCTGCAGGGCTCCTCGGCGGCTGCTGCAGGTGGAGGCCGCAACCGGCGAGAGGGGCAGGGCGGGGCCGCAGCGGCAGGTCGACGCGGGGAGCCGGCGACGACAGCTGCTGCAGGGGCGGCTAAGAGCCGCGAAGGGCCGCGAAGGGGGGCCGCGAAGGCCGCGAAGGGCCGTGAGGGGGGCCGCGAAGGGCCACGAAGGGGCCGCGAAGGGCGGCGAGGGGGCCGCGAAGGGCCGCGAGAGGGGCCGCGAAGGACCGCGAAGGGGCCGCGAAGGGCCGCGAGAGAGGCCGCGAAGGGCCGCGAAGGGGCCGCGAAGGGCCGTAAGAGGGGCCGCGAAGGGCGCAAAGAGGCCGCGAAGGGCCGTTATAGGGCGCGACGGGGCGCTTAAGGGCAGGCGCGAAGCGCGCTTCGGGCAGGTAAGGAAGAAAAAAAAAAAAAACTCGTAGTGGTGGGCCCTTAGGAAAAAAAAAAGCTGTCCCACTAGGGAACCCGCTCTATAGCATGTGAGAATAATTCGAGGAATGAAATGACTAGAAATGAGTTGGGTACAAATAGGGAAACCTAGAAATGTAGTACCCCCTATTGTCTAACCCACTACAGCCTAAACAGGCTATAACATAAGTTTGACACCTCTCCCATCACCCATGCCTTCCACTCATGTCTTACCCGCCCTCTCCTCTTCCCACCCTCCTCTTCCCACCCTCCTCTTCCCACCCTCCACTTCCCATCCTCCTCTTCCCCACCCCTCCTCTTCCCCACCCCTCCTCCCCACCCCTCTTCTTCCCTACCCCTCCTCTTCCCCACCCCTCTTCTTCCCCACCCCTCCTCTTCCCCACCCCTCCTCTTCCCCACCCCTCCTCCCCACCCCTCTTCTTCCCTACCCCTCCTCTTCCCCACCCCTCTTCTTCCCCACCCCTCCTCTTCCCCACCCCTCTTCTTCCCCACCCCTCCTCTTCCCCACCCCTCCTCTTCCCCACCCCTCCTCTTCCCCACCCCTCCTCTTCCCCATCCCCACTATTCCCCTCTCACACCCCAGCAAGGCCACAAACGAGACCTTTCCCCCGGTGCTGCTCGACTTCCCAGACACCACCTACTACGTGCACCCCTCCACCTACCTCATGCTTGACGTGCGCCCACTCCACTCTCCTTCCGCTCCTCTCCTCTCCCTCTTCTCTCCTCACTCCCTTCTCCCATCTGGCTCCCTTCTCTCAACTCGCTCCCTTCTCACTTCTCGCCCTCACTCCTCTCATCTCCCTCCCTCCTCGCATCAGTCTCCCATGAATGGCGTTCTGTCTGTCTTCCTACCATGCTCGCTGATTCCATTGCACTCCTTGCGTGTGAGACAGTTGTGGCCCGCCCACACTCAACTGCTGTATCTGCCCAATATGCACGTTTCTTGAATCTTCACTATTACAACAAGGTGTTTCAGGGTACTCTTCTTCTGGCTAACTAACCTTAGTTACAAGGGTACCCTGCAGCATCCAGCCACCCTCTCCACTCCGCCCCTCTCCTCTCCGCCCCGCTTCCCGCTCTCCTCGCCCCCCTCCTCGCCCTCATGCCACCACACCAGGGAGCCACAGCAGCCAACCTGCTGCTGTGCCTGGCAGCGGTGCCTCTCCCAGATGAGTCCGTGCACGATGCATACCTGGGCAGTGAGTGCTGTGAGGGGAGGAGAGATCAAGGGAGGAGGGGGGGGCGGAAGGGACGGTTTGGAGAAGGTTGTAGACACGCTTGAATAACCAGCGTGCACTGCTAGTGCTGCGGTCGTTTTATTTGCAAAGTTCTCTTTCTCCTGTTTCCTTGAACATTTACAAGCACTCGATGCATACATATGCGCCCCTCTCTCCCCCACTCCCTCCCTCCCTCCCTCCCTCCCTCCCGCCCCCTCTCCCTCTCTCACTCCCTCCCTCTCTCCCTTTCTCTCTCCCTCCTCCCCTCCTTCCCTCCCTCCTCCCCTCCTTCCCTCCTTCCTCCCCTCCTTCCCTCCCTCCTCCCCTCCTTCCCTCCCTCCCCCCGTCAATCCATCTCTCCCATTCCCCGCCCACCCCTGCATGGGCAGCACAATGGCTAGCAGACCACTACCTGTGGTTCGAACTTGCGTCTCAGAAGCTGCACTTTAGATCCCTTAACTGTGAGCCTCTGTGCAATGGTGTGGGCAATGATGTGTGCACGGTTGGACGAACGAGGTTGCAAGTTAGTCGCTTCTGAGAACTCTCAAAAGCAGATTACGAGCTTCCCTCCATCTCTGAGTTTGAGTTTCCTCCTCTGCTCTTATCACCGCAGCCTCCTTTCTTTCCTCCCCTTTTCCTCCTTCGCGCCCCTTCTCACTTGTGTCCCCAATCACTTCCCCTCTCCACGCGTGTACCTCATCTGTCCATCATGCAGGTACCACCTGGGACTGAGCCTTCTGCCACTGCCCCCACTGAACCTCCTGCCACCCCGCCCAGCGATGCTCCTGCACCAACCCCCTCTGAACCGCCTTCCCTTCCTCCTACTCAACCTCCTCCCCCACTTTCCAAAGTACCTCCTCCGTCCCCCCCCTCTCCGGCTTCTCCCGCTCCCGTTCCTGCATCAGCTCCAACCCTTCAACCCCCTGGTAACGCCCCTTTAGCACCACACTACCCTCACCAGTTATGGTTGTGGTTGTATGCAGTTCTTGCAGTTCTTGCAGTTCTTGCAGTTCTTACAGTTCTTGCAGCTCTTGCAGCTCTTGCAGCTCTTGCAGCTTTTGCTTAAATTTCCGTTGTAACAGATTCCTTCGCAATGATTTTTAACTCTACCCTTTACTCCCCAACCTGTCCGTCCTCTTGTACACATCTGACTTTCTCCGTCCTGCTTCCCTTCACCCCTGCCTTCCGCAGCTCCCTTGCAATCTTCTCAAGCCTTTCCTCCTCAACCAAGCCTGCCCAGCGGTGGTGCCAGCAGCATTATTGGTAGTGCTGGCAGTAACAGCAGTGGCGATAGTGGCAGCAGCAGCAACAGCACAGTAACGACAAAATCAGGTACGTTCTGTCACGTCGCTCTTGTGTGATTCTTGCTGTCCTTTCATGCTGCTGCAAAGGTAGATCAACAGCATGGAACGATTCTTAAATGCCGATTCACAACCATGGAACTGGCAAAGATGTTTCCGTGGTGAAAATTGTGTTATTGATCGTCCGGCCCAATGTGCACAAAATCATAAGTTTGATGAGGTACCGTAATACCCCGGATATAAGACCACCCCCAGCTGTAATACGGGGGGGGGGCGGGGGGGGGGGGGGGGGGGGTACTCTATTTGTGTCACTTTTAGTATACCCCACTTTTCTAGTGTAATCATTATAAGACTTCCCCCATCCTTAGGAAGAATGTGAGATCTGCGATTTCAGAAAGACAACAATATTTTTCCCTCCCGATAAGAGCGAGTGGGTATCGCGCAGTCAACATAGTACTTTTTTGTTCTTTTCGCCACTGCCAAGCTGATGAATTTGAGTCTGTCTAGTGGCGAGAGTGATGCCACCTGGCAAACGCCCGAAGGTGGGGACATTCACGCCCTCACCCATATTCGAGGTCAAGCTGCAAAGTACAACTGACACAAATATAAACAGTAAACATGCATTCATCAAAAATATCAATTTAAAATATACCACATATAAGCCCCTTGTTAAGAGCCCCCCCCTCCCCCCCCATTTTTATTTTGGTGCAATTCTGTCAAGACCCTAGGGTCTTATATCCGGGGTATTACGGTATATACCCCCCCGAACGTATACCACGTCCGGGGTGTGCTTTACCTGCTGGTTCTGTGCATGCGGGGTCTCACAAGGGGCTTACAGTACAGTAGTTCGATGGTGCAGGTTCATTGCTGTCATGCACCCTTATGCTTTGTTGTTCCTTCTGTTCCTAGTGATACGTATCGCAGAATGTATGTTACTGATTCTGCAGATTTGGCATGATTGCAGCAAACTTGTCAATCCCACCTTCTTCCCCTATTGTGCCTTCGTTTCCACTCCCAACCAACCATCCTGTATACCCCTGTTGCCCTGCTTCGCTTTATCTCCTGTAGTTGGTAAACACTTTGCCACGCCGGGTGGAACGGGGCATGTCATCTATTATATCCTAGTCTCTTTTGCATTTACGTATTTCCTTCCATTTTGTGGATGCTGTATTTGATGATAGCAACAAAGAATGAAAAGAATTCCCAGAGTCGCAATCAGCTCATTCGGCTCAATTTTCTGTATCAGATTATGCACACTCTGAAATGGCAATCTCTTGTCACCGCTTTGGACCACAGCTCTGCCTAAACATTGATATCGTGCAGTAAATGAACTGTCATGACCTCCTCGTGGTTTGGCGACCATATTGGACCGAGGAGGAGTCAGGACGTGGTGCGGAACGCCTTGGCACGCCCCGGTTCGCCGGGTTTCAAAGCTTAAAGCCCGAGTCTAGAATGGTAAGGGTTCAACTTCAAGATTCTTGAACTTGTGTTCGTCAAGAACAGGGTAACCAGGTTCAGAAAGCTGATCTCTCGCGACTCACCGAGAAGGGAGCTGGTGGGCCAGAAGGTGATTGGCCAAATGCCCCTCAGCAAAAACACCAACGAGCCTCGCGAGAAACAAGCAAGGACAAGTACCACTGTTCACACTTTCGGAACTTGAAACTCGAGAACACCTTTCTAGACTCGTAGTATAGTGGGCTCCATAGCCCAAGTTCTCGTCAGTAGCCAGCATAGTTACGCCCATCTCCCCGCGCTATGCTAAGACGTTAGTAGCACATACAGATGAAACTTCCCAGCGACTTTTTCGCGCATAACAAATCCGATCTGAACAAAGACAGGACCCTCAGATTGATCGCCACCGTGAGAATCACTCGTCGCCACTGAAGGTTATCCCAGTCCGCACTCAATGCCGGTCCGCAATAACTCAAGGCCCGCCCTCACTCCCGTCGTTCACTCCCGTCGTTCTCTCTCTCCCGTCAAACTCTTTCTCCCATCGCGCTCTCACTCCCATCGCTCTCTCACTCCCGCAACGCTCTCACTCCCGTCGCTCTCTCACTCCCGTCGCTCTCTCACTCCCGTCGCTCTCTCACTCCCGCAACGCTCTCACTCCCGTCGCTCTCTCACTCCCGTCACGCTCTCACTCCGTCTCTCTTACTTCCGTCACGCTTTTACTACCGTCGCTCTCTCACTCCCGTCGCTCTCTCGCTTCCGTCGCGCTCTCACTACCATCGATCTCTCACGCCCGCAACGCTCTCACTCCGTCGCTCTCTCACTCCCGTCGCTCTCTCATTCCCGTCGCTCTCTCACTCCCGTCGCTCTCTCACTCCCGTCGCTCTCTCACTCCCGTCGCTCTCTCACTTCCGTCGCACTCTCACTCCCGTCGCTCTCTCACTTCCGTCCCGCTCTCACTCCCGTCACCCACGCACGTCGCTCGCACATGTCGCTCATATCTGCTCCTTCCCCCCTCTTCCCCCTTGCGCCCTTCCCCGTTCCTCCTCTTCCCATCTTCCTTTGTCACTCACACACGTCACACACGACATGCTCACACATGTTCCCATCTCCCCTCTCCTCCCTTCCCTCTCCGCTGCTCTCCTCCTTTCCCTCTCTGTCCCCCTCCTTCCCTTCTCTGTCTTCGCCTCGCCGCCCTCCCACTCATCCCCTCTCCTTCCTTTCCCTCTCAGCCCCTCTCCTCCTTTCCCTCTCAGCCCCTCTCCTCTTTTCCCTCTCAGTCCCTCTCTTCCTTTACCTCTCTCCCGTTTTCTCCCTTTATCTCTCCTCTGCCCGCTCTGCCCTTTCCTCTACCTTCCCTATCCTTATGTCCACCAACATGCCCTTTGATGAGCTCGCCACGTTTCTCCCTCTCTGTTTCTTGTTCTTCACTCCGTTTCCCCCATTGTCCTTCCCTATCTTTCCCCCCGGTCATTCCCTCCATCTCACTTATTGTCACTGCCTCCCTTTCCCATTGTCCTCTCCTCCGTTTCGCCCCTTTTTCCTTCCAACCTTTCCCCCATGTCCTTCCTTCCGTATTCCCCCTTATTTCTTCCTCCCTGTCCCACTTTCCCTCCTTCTCAAGACCCTTGTCCGTCCCTCGGGCTCCCCGCTTCAGCTCTCCCTCCCTTTCCCCCCTGTTCTGCCCTCCCAGTTGCTGGTGTCTCCCTCCCTTTCGCCCAAGTCCTTCCCTCCGTTTCCCCCCTTGTTCGTTGCTCCGTATCCCCGTGTGCTGGATCCGTTTCTCCTCTTGTCTCCATCTTTTTCCCTTTCCGCAGCTCCCGCCCCTCCGATTTCCCCCCTGGTTTGCCCCTCCGTTGCCTTTCTCCCCTTCATCCCTCTTGCCCTTTTCCGATCATCTGTTGCCCCATGCCCCACGCCCCATGCCCCATGCCCCATGCCTCACACCTCATATCTCAACACCCTGCCACTGTGCCCTTCATGGTCAGATAGGGTTCCTGCCGGCGGCAGCAGCAGCCAACCTCACAGAGGAAGTGGTGGTTCGCTTTGACTGCCTTTCCAACGCTCGAGAGCTCTCACGCCCACGACCACAGGCACACCACACACCCCTGACACTGAGGTAGTGGCCTCCAACAGGGGGTAGTTGGGAGGTCAATCAAATAGTCTCTTTCGTTTGCCTTCTCTGCATTGGTATCACGTCACACTCTTCTACCATCTTTCCACCACCCATTCCACCATACCCACCCTGACACTCATCCCTCACCCTTCCACTCTGTGCCTTACTCACTCCTTCGCTGTTTCTGTCCTTCTCTCACTCTCCCTTTGCTCTCTGTCATCTTGCTCACCCTGTTCCTTGCTCACTCATACATTTGTTGTTTCTGTCCTTTGCTCGCTGTCCCCTGCTCACCCTTCAATCTTTGCCCCTGCCTCGCTGTTGCATTCCTTGTCATTCCCCTCCCATTCCTTCCTCTGCACGCGATCCGTGCTGCCCTTCACCGTATGCTTCCCTGCTGCTCAGCCATCTCACATCTAATTTCCTGATTTGTGTTTGTACAGGTCCGCTATGCATCAGTGCTGGTGCTGTGGTGATGTGTTGGTTGGCAGTTTGATAGTACTATAATGACTTGCCATGCATTGTTTGGATCTTGGATGCTTTGTTATACCGGTATTACAAACTTTGAGCTGAGATTAGCCGTGCACATGACCACTACAAAAAAGTGGAACAAAATTCGCAGTTGATTATCGAGGCGAAGAAGACAGCTAGGAAATGTATTTTTTTTTTCCCCCGTTCTTGTTTGCTACACTGCATGCAACCTTGGCCTGTGGTGTTGGGGGCCTGGGACCTGTACACTGCGTGGTTGGAGATGGGTATGAGTGAAAGGGGGAACAGATTGAGCAGCGGAAGAGAGAGTGAACAGGAAGAAACATAGCGAACAGGGGGAAAGAGAGTGAGCAGAGAGGAACAGAGCGAGTAGTTGGGGAGAGTATGGGCAGGAGAAACACAGTGAGCGGGAGAGAATGAGCAGGGGAAACAGATTGACCCAGGAAAATAAGGACGGAAAGATGAGCAGAATGAATGGGAGGGGGATGGGAGAGCGATGGGAGGGGGATGGGAGGGGGATGGGAGGGCGATGGGAGGGAGATGGAAGGGGGATGGGAGGGGGATGGGAGGGGGGATGGGATGGGGATGAGAGGGGGGTGGGAGGGGGATGAGAGGGGGGTGGGAGGGGGATGGGAGGGGGGCGGGAGGGGGGCGGGAGGGGGATGGGAGGGGGATGGGAGGGGGATGGGAGGGGGGATGGGAGGGGGATGGGAGGGGGATGGGAGGGGGATGGGAGGAGGATGGACGGGGGGTGGGAGGGGGATGGGAGGGGGATGGGAGGGGGATGGGAGGGGGATGGGAGGGGGATGGGAGGGGGATGGGAGGGGGATGGGAGGGGGATGGGAGGGGGATGGGAGGGGGATGGGAGGGGGATGAGAGGGGGGTGGGAGGGGGTTGGGAGGGGGATGGGAGGGGGATGGGGAGGGCGGCGGGAGGGGGATGGGAGGGCGATGGGAGGGGGATGGGAGGGGGATGGGAGGAGGATGGGAGGGGGATGGGAGGGGGATGGGAGGGGGATGGGAGGGGGATGGGAGGGGGATGGGAGGGGGATGGGAGGGGGATGGGAGGGGGATGGGAGGGGGATGGGAGGGGGATGGGAGGGGGATGGGAGGGGGATGGGAGGGGGATGGGAGGGGGATGGGAGGGGGGTGGGAGGGGGTTGGGAGGGGGAGGGGAGGGGGATGGGAGGGCGGCGGGAGGGGGATGGGAGGGCGATGGGAGGGGGATGGAAGGGGGATGGGAGGGAGATGGGAGGGGGATGGGAGGGGGATGGGAGGGGGATGGGAGGCGGATGGGAGGGGGATGGGAGGAGGATGAGAGGGGGATGAGAGGGGGATGGGAGGGGGATGGGAGGGGGATGGGAGGGGGATGGGAGGGGGATGGGAGGGCGACGGGAGGGCGATGGGAGGGGGACGGGAGGGCGATTGGCGGGGGACGGGAGGGGGACGGGAGGGGGACGGGAGGGGGATGGGAGGTCGACGGGAGGGGGAAGCGAGGGCGA